GACGGCGGTCAGGCAGCGGCTGGGGCAGCCTCGTGCGGGGAAGCGGTGACAGAGGCGGGCACCGCCCGGACCGAGGGCGCGCTGGCGGCCTCTGTCGGCGCAGGGACGCAGCGCCACACCCCGCTCGCCGCTCCCCCTATGCCGACGAGGACCAGGCAGCAGAATGGAAAGCCCCTTATGGAATGAGACTGATGCACAACAGCGCCATTTCTCTAGAGCTCACTGTGTCAGAGTCACACATTATCTCACTAAATCTCATCTAACCCTTTCATAGAAGAGAAGCCCAAAGCTCAGAATGTTGAAGAAGCCAGCCCAAGGACCCAAGGCTAGAAGGTAGCATTCGGTCCTTCAGTCTTATTCTATCATGAACTTGGCCTAACCTAATCAAGCCCTGCAATTAAAGACCAGCCTTAAACAAGACCCCCAGGTCCTCATAACTAGCCTGCTTTCCTTCTTCCTCCTTCGTAGACTAAAGACTGTGTGGTAGTTATGTCATCGTGGTGGCTCATGCCTGTAATCCCAGCACTTTGGGGCTGAGGCAGAATGCTCGCTTGAACTCAGAAGTTCAAGACCAGCCTGAGCAATATAGTGAGACCTCGGTCTCTACAAAAAATTGCGGGGTGTGATGGTGTGTGCCAGGAGTCCTAGGTACTCAGGAGACTGAGGCAGGAGATCACTTGAGCCCAGGAGATCGTGGCTGCAGTGAGCCATGACCCTGTTACTGCACTCCAGATTGGGCGACAGAGACCCCAATTCAATAAAATAAAATTAAAAAGACTGTGAGGTAGTGATCTTTACCGCAGTGAATACATGTTGCTTTGCTTTAACAGATTTTTTTAAGTGATATTTTTCAGGGAATCAGCAATTGACACCAGGAGGCTTTAATTTCCTCCCTTTTTGGAAGGGTGCTAGGGGGACAAAAGCAAAAGGAAAGGGAAGGGGATGGGAAAGGGGAAGAGAGAGTAACTGAAAAAGGTAAAAATTAAAAAAAATACATGCCCGCTATCAAGTTTAACTTTAGGTGTGGCCTCTACTTGAGGGCTCTCGCCATTTTCTAGGGAAGCAGGCCAACAAGGCATTTCTAAATATCACAAGGAAGTGGGAGATGGCAGAAAAGCACTTAGACGAGTTTCAAACGAGTAGGACTGTGATCCTGGCTCTGCCCAAAATTTGGCAGCATGAATTACAGGATCCAACTAATGGGCATATCATCTTCCAACCTGATATGAAGTTTAATGGGAGCAAAATCCATTAAAACTTACTCCCCTGGAAGTTTGGGAAGAGCAGGAAGTGTTGCAAGTCATAAAAGGACAAGCAGTGCTGAATCTTCATAGGACAGAATATGGAGTTGAAAACTACACTCTACTGAGCTTAATCAGCATTATGTGAAAATTCTCTAATGTGATCAGTTAGGAATGGAAAAGATAGCACCAGTTTTTACACAGTATCTTTCTTTGCAGGAATTCCAGGTCGAAGGATGCTGCAGACATAGCAAGTACAGACAATTCACATCATAGACAAGACAATGACATTTAGGCTGAATGATAGAATTGAGGTTTGTTAAAGATCAGGACCAGAGATGCTGAGAAGGAGCAGGGACCACCAGAGAAGGCTGTTAGGGGCCTGCCCCAACCTCCAGCCAACTCAGGGTGCCATCACTGACTTGGATGAGAATGTAGCAGCACACACCTAGAAGTTGCAGATGACCTGAAGCAGGAAGGGTGACAAACTGAGCACAGACTAAATCTAGTAAGATGAAATTTAACAGGGATTACTAATGTCATATTGAAGAGTTTATCAAAAATACAGGATAGGAATTATTTGAAAATAATAAAAATTGTAATCTAAGTCATTACTAGATTAACAATAATCTGAGCATTGGTCATATACAATGCCAAGAAACATCTTAGATAGGAGCCATAAAACTTCACTGGGCCTGGCAAAGGAGCCAACCACCACTCTGCCAGTCACTAGAGTCACATTTCACTTTGGATATTCGTGTGTGTGTGTGTGTGTGTGTGTGTGTGTGTGTGTGTGTGTAAGCAGCATTTAGTGAGAGGACAGAAAAGCTCCCACAGTGGGAGGGGACCCGAAGGGGTTGCCCTGGACATGTTTTACAAAGACAGAGGTGTCCAGTCGTCAGTGACTACGCTCATAAGGAGACATGACACTTCTGTTGCAACATGAAGTATCTAGGGCTCATCCCCATGAAGGATAAAAAATGTAGAAGGGGAAGTGGTAGACACTTTTAAAAAGCTAAAGCAAATAAACCAAAAGGAAACCAAATAAACCAGATAACCAGAATATGGAACTATTGAAAGCAACTGCACAATTACCCTTTAGAAAACTTTTTTTTTTCCCTCGAGGATACTGTAGTCAACAATAGAAAGGCAGAGACAGGAGAATCACTTGAGCCCAAAAATTCAAGACCAGCCTGGGCAACATAGTAAGACTTTGTCTCTACAAGAAACAAAACAAAAAATAAAAATAAAAAAATTAGCTGGGCATGATGGCATGTTTATAGTCCCAGCTACTTAAGAGACTGAAGCAAAAGGATCAATCACCTGTGCCCGGGAGTTTGAGGCTGTGGTAAGCTGTTATTATGCCATTGTACTCCAGTCTGAACAACAGAGTAAGACCCTGACCCCCCAAAAAAAGAAAAACACACACACACAAAACAGAAGAGGAAACATTTTAATTAACAAAACATCAAACATTAACTTAGTATGTGGAAACCTCAGTTGAATAGCTTGGGAAACTATCCTATCTTCCTGAATTCTGGAGAGGGACTTTGGCACTGGGTAAAAATACTAAAATTCAAATGTCTCATATGGTATATATTGCAGTATAATGTCAAATAATGTTTCGAGACTGATTTTTTTCCCTGAGCTATGTTTTTTTAGCTTAAGGAAAAATAAAAGCAAATTTCATTATGAAGTAATTTTATCTTACTAATCTACACATTGAAAATATTTGCTTATCATTATAATAATTTTATGAGTTTCGGCATCACAAAAACTGTTAAATTAAAACTATATCAGCCTTGGCAATATAGCAAGACCCTTTATCAATTTAAAAAAAAAAATGATCCCCATTTCTACATTCCCTGTCTCATAAGACTTTAGAAAGATATTTTAACTTTTATATCTTTCAAGGCACTGTATTTTAAGAGTCTAAACTAAACACAGACAAAATATTCTTCCAATCAAGGAGCTGTACACTTGGGGAGTTTGGTCAGCTTGTGGTATTTGTGAGCAAGGTCCACAGCCTTTCGTCCTTGCTTAAAGGGGAAAGACCACAAAATTGAATTCCAGTGATTTCCCATTTTCTTAACTCCATCGAAAAGGTAATTTATTTCTTCTTCAGTAAAGTTTTTACGAATTCTTTTTTCTGTAATTAATTAAAATTTTAGAATATATTAGTACTTGCTGAAAAAAAGTCCTGAGACTCAAATAAGTGTCTAACTTATTTGGATATACTTAACTTATATCTAAGGATATGAACTACAGAGTGAGAAATGCCTGGACTGCTCATAATATGGAAATCCACTTCAATTTTGAAAACCTAAGTGCCTACTATTAAGTTAAATGCTATCACTGTGACTTCATCAGTAATTGTCATGTAATCTTTTGTAATAATATTTGCACTATTTCAGTCAAGAAACAAAAGTTTATATAACACCTGATTGTCAATTCAACATTCCTGTGAGGACAGTTAACAAACAGCTTACCTATCTTACAGATACAGTCTTCCCAAAGGGCTCCATAACTTCATAGAATAGAAAAGAATATCAACACTTGTTACTTTAAATATTAGATTTGATTAAGATTTTTAAGAATTAGAATCTTTTGAAATTTGCTTTAAAAAACAATTTGACCAAAACTCAAAATATAGGAAAATATGGGAAAAGAAGTTTTTGACTATGTGGTTTTTAGGGATACTTTTCTGTAACAATTGGTATCTGGCAATGATTACCAGGATATAGTTTTCTTTACATTTTTTCATTCATTGTTAGCTCATGTTATCACTGTAGGTAGATGCCAGTAAGGAGGATGGTTTTGTATTTCTACTTGAGGCTGCTATTTACTTTAGTAGGATTGGGTGTACTTGTGCTGGGTCACCCTTAGAAAATCTTGCCCTTACAGGCCAAGGCTGTTAGCCATCTGCCTACCTGAAGAGCCACAGTTCAGACCTTTTAAAACAGATGAGAAAATCTTACCAGCAGAAGACTGAGAAATAATGTCTGATTATTGCTTAATAGTATTATTTAGAGTGGCAGTCCCCAAACTTTTTGGCATCAAGGACCAGTTTCGTGGAAGATAATTTTTCTATGGTCCGGGTAGGAGGATAGTTTTGGGAGGATTGAAGCACATAACATTTGTTGTGCACTTATTTCTAGTATTATTACATTGTAATATATAATGAATAATTATACAAATCACCATTTTTAAAAAGAGGCCCAGACAGAAGTGGTAAATAAAATAATAGGCAGGCCACGCATAGACTAAGTGTCAGATTCTGACTTAAAGCCTGCCACCAGATGCAGCTATACAATTGAGTACATCAACTCACTTGCCACTTACTGATAGGGTTTTGATATAAGTCTGCATGCAACTGATTTATTATAGTCTCTGTGCAGTCAAACCTCACTGCTAATGGTAATCTGTATTTGCAGCTACTCCCCAGCACTAGCATCACCCCCTCAGCTTCACCTCAGATCATCAGGCATTAGATTCTCATAAGGAACACACAACCTAGATCCCTTGCAGGCACACTTCACAATAGGATTCTCACTCCTATGAGAATCTAAAGTTGCTGCTGATCTGACAGAAAGTGGAGCTAAGGCAGTTAATGAGAGCAATGAGA